GAGTGAACTGCAGCAGCTCCCTTTTGTAGAGGCATGAGGGGTGATTGCTGATCGGTCGCAGCTGGTGTCTGCAGGCAGGCAGGTATGGAGGAGTCTCAGCATGCCCCTCTCCGTGGGGCTGATCTTATGAACAGCATAGAGAGGCAAGAGCTGGAGGGCGCTGTCCTGGGTCCTGAACCAGGATTAGTCAAATTTCTTTCAAATGAAATCAGGAACTCAGGAGTCGTGACAGTGGGATTGAGAAGGTCTTTGAAGTAGTTCGCCCACCGATCCACAACTCCCGAGTCGAGGTCGGCAGCACACCATCCCCACTATAAACAGTGTTGGTAGCACACCACTTTCCCCTCCTGAGGCGCCGGATGGTTGACCAGAATCTCCTCAAAGCGGGCGGGCCTGTGGGCTTGCCGCTGACGTCTCCCGGGACTCTGCCGGCTGTTGGTTGTGGTCCCCCGGGGCGATCCTCTGTGCCTCTCGAGGGGGGCAGGGGCCTTTCTGGTTGCAGTCTCCTTGGGGTCCCTGTGTTCTGGGGCAGCGCCTGGATCTCTGGGACCTGGAGCTCCCCCCATCTCCTGCGCATCTTTGGGGGGCAGATCTGTGGTCCCTCACACTCTCTGTTGGACGCTCCTATAGATAAACCTTAAATAAACAAGCGTGTGTACACACACAGGTGCTCACATGGTGCTCTCAAAAGTATGGACTTGGGCACGTTAGACACAGGTCTTAAGACTATGGTGGGCGCTTAATGCGTTGTGATTTATTATCATGATTCTTCAGTTAAGCAATGTTGATTATATATTTCCAAGGGCGTCAGTTTGTTTTCAGAATTGCTGGGGACAATAACCATACACTTGAGTGGGGTTTAAAAATTGCTGGGGACAATATAGGCTAGCACAGGGGTCGGCGGCTCTGTAGCCGCATGCGGCTCTTCCATCCATCTGATGTGGCTCTCTCTGTGCTTGTAAAATAATGAATGGATATTTAAATAAAAAGCTTTATATTTTACTGCATTAATTTTACATCTGTATGCTAATTCTAAATGTAAAGATTGTCTGCGTAAACCTGAACAGGTCAACCCGGTCTTACTGTGAGACCGGGTTGACGCGTCACGCTTGTGCGTAATCATATCTGAGCTTCCTGAGCTGGAGGATGTCAGATTCTGGGATTCTTCTCAGACGGCTCCTGGATGCGTCGCCACATTGGAGACAGGAACAAGCACTATTCAGCCAAAGTTTCATAACCTGGGAACATTTTCTAAGTGACAAGTCTCTGAGAGACAGGGTTTGGAAAACACTCGCTTCAGTGGGAGGAACCTTCTCACATGCGCTCTGGTTCTGAGAGCCTGGATTTGTATTCTGAACAGTCTAAACATGTTTTTAAAAGGAACGTATGACAAAAGTGGCACCTGCTCAGTAAAACCACCAACAGGGTGAAAAATATCTAAATATTGTAGGCAGAGACGGGCTACAACTTCTGGATCATCTTTATATAAATCGTTTTATTGATTATCTTCTTATGAAAGATAACTTTGACGTACACGAGCGACCAGGCGCGTTGCAAGATTTTCAAAAGTGTGGGGGATGTTGTCTGTGCCTAAAGTAATTTGATGTTATTCACCTTGTTAGTTTAATTTCCATAACAGCGGAGCAGGTGCGAATTTTAGACGCGTCACGCATGTCTCCGTTTTAAACATGTTCAGAATACAAATCCAGGCTCTGTCTCGTTCGATTGGTGTAACTAAAGTTTGTACTGAATGAAACTTTACATTAAACCATGTTGAAAAGAAAATGATCCGATTAAATAATTTCCCCTCATTTACAGTCACGACGCACAGTGCACGTGGCTCTGGGGTTAATCAGGTTTAGTTGTTTCTCTTTGCAACAATCTTCACAAGAAGGCAAAACAGTTAAATGGCAGGTTACAGATATTTCCATTTGACTGTATTTTGATGGATAAACTCAAGGATGCTGGCTGTTTTGAAAGAATTACCCTGACGCACACTGATGCGCATGGATGAGCTTGGAAAAAATGTTCTTTTTATGAAATTATTCAACTTTGGCTGAACAGCGCTTGTTCCCGTCTCTAATATGGACACGCATGACGCATCCAGTCTGAGGCAGAATAGCAGCGCAGAAAGCACCTGTAGAGACATTTGATTACGCACAAAGTTTATGTGGAGCAGAAGCGGTCGGACCACGGCAGGTGAAACGTTCCTAGCCTACATGAAGTGAAACTGTTTAATTGTAACATTAATATGTTACTGGACACGCTGGTCTGGTTGGTTAGACCAGTGTTGGAAGTGGAAAACACACACACACACACACACACACACACACACATACACACACACACACGCATACACCAATTAAAATAATGCTGATAGCATGGACCAGGTGAGCCAGGTGATGGGTTACGTATTTAAATGATGATCAGGCTGCTGTAAAATGTAATCTCCATCCACATCCAGACAGAATGATCCTCTATTCTATTTGCTCTGCTCTTGTCTGGGCTGATGTAGCTGACGGTGCGCGCGGCGCACCTAACGGCTGTGGTGCACATTTTACGCATTTGGAGAGATGGGCTGGATGCTTTGCTTTCACTGGAAGATGGTCCACTTAACGCACGGGTGTAGACTACATATTAATGACAAATGAATGAAAATTAAATTGGGAGTTTTTACTTCATATTTTAGAAATAAAAATGACGGGGGGACACATTTATTACGTCTTTTTAAACGAAATTTTCTAGCGCGACCTGCCTGCTTCACTAAGTCACTGCTTATTAAGGTCCATCCAAAACCGTGGCCCACCCAAAAATGAAAACCTGGCACCGCGCCTGTTATAACCTCTGCAAATTGTTGTTCTTCACTTTATCAAACTCAGACTTTGTACAGCTAATGTCAAGATGTAAAATTATGAATTCAGTCGAGCTCTTCCGTCCCTCCCTCTCCTGCTCTCCTGGAAACCCGACATTGGCTGTCAGAAGAGGGAGGTGAAGAAGGAGATGAGGCAAACAGAGTGAGTGCGACATAAAGAAACCAGACTGGTGTGGAGGTGAGCAAAACAGAAGGAAAAGTGTGGGTGTTGAATCCCCCACGGGTGCGATGTCCATGCGAGCGACCGGTACTTGCTGCTGTCACCTGGTTGTGAGCAGCTCTCTGCTGTCTGAGAGTAGGCCCCGCCCACAACGCTGCGGCTACTGCGGTGTTTTCCTTACTGTGGGAAACGGGTAATAATGGCTCTTTGATGGGAACAGGTTGCTGACCCCCGGTATAAGATCTGAGCTGGTAAAACAAAAATCCTCATCAGCAGGCTTTTTTTAAAGTGGGGGGGACACAGCTGCCAATCACAAATTTTGCCGGGGACATGTCCCCGGCGTCCCCGGTTAAAATGACGCCTATGTATATTTCTTCATCAAGTTGACGCAGTGACAGCTTGATCTTGTTGTATTGTTGTTGTGTCCCTTTTTTTGTTCTTTTGCTTTTTTTTGTCTTTTTCTGCAGGTCTAGAAGCAGACTCTTGTTCATTATTGTTTATTTTTGTGGACAAAAAAAAAAAAAGAATCTCCTCAAAGCCATACCAAAGTCTTGCTCAATGGTAGGGCTGGGCAATGAATCAAAAATGTATCGTTATCAAAATTTCTGACTTATCGAGATAATTTTTCCAATGTCAATATACTTGATAATAAAAAAATGAAAAGATGTGTGTAGGTTGGCAACATTCATGTCCCTTTATGAATGTGTACTACATGTGACATCCCCACCTAGTGGACAACTTTTGTTTCTGCGCATACCTGCAGTTATTGTCCATGTATCATTACCGAGGTGAAATCCTCAATATATCATGATATTGATTTTAGGCCATATCACCCAGCCCTACTCCATGGTCTCACTGAACTCCTCCCATGCCAGTGTTTTTGCCTCTGTGCCCACCCGGGTCGCGTTCCACTTGCCGGTACGCATCAGCTACCTCCTGATTCCCACAGGCCAAAATGACCCGATAGTACTCTTTCTTCAGCTTGATGGCATCCCTGTTGAAATAAAAGTACATTTAGAAAAAATCATGACAAATTCTTACAACTATGTTTTTTAGTTGGTAGAAAACCAGCAGGCAATAACTGTATCCATATGAACTTTATTACAGCAGGAGCAACAACCTCACACACAACATTCATCTTGTCTCTCAGCAGTACTTCCCCTGAACTCTACACTACACCTCCATATATAAATTAGCAGCGCTTTGCTGCCACCTAGTGTTTAGTTCAGTACACATTTACAATGTTCCATGTCCATTTATGCTTCATCAATAACACATATACTAATATTTACACATCCTAACAAATCCCACAATGGTTACCATTTTAATGAGACTAAAGTAATCAAATAGACGTGGTGGTTACAGAAATATACTCATTAATGGCTTGGGCATAAAATATCTTGAACGCAAAATATGTCAATTAATCAAGATTAATTAATTACAAAGCCTCTAATTAATTTGATTATTTTTTTTATCGAGTCCAATCCCTAGTTTTTTTTATAATGTGATATGGGTGTATATGTCACAAGCAGGAAAAAAAAGCCTAAACCATATAACCAATAAAATAAATTAAGTTGGCCAAACATAAACTTTCCACATCATACATTTTACTAGTGTAGTGACCTATCCTCATTTGCTCCTTACTTTCTAATTTTATTCTGTTTTTATTTTTTATTTATTTTTTGTTTGATAAAAGCTGTTTTCTAAAGTGACTTACCACTGAAGGTCATTTGACCTAACTTGTATGTTTTTGTCTGTGGGAGGAAACCAGAGCACCTGCACAAAACCCACAAATGCATACAGCTGTGTTTTGAACCTTCAAACTTTCTGCAGCAAGAAAACAGTGTTGCCAACTGTACCACCATGCAGCTTTGTTACATATTCAGACTTTAGCATGAAAATGACATGTAAAACAAGACAAAGACTAATCTAACACATAACAACACACTTTTACTTATTTATCAACAGGTAATAATGCCTTTAAATCACCAGAGGACTTCAAGGTGTCCCTCCCCCTGCGCACTAACTATCTGTATGGACGCATCAAGAAGAGTCTCCCAGAGATGTACGCCTTCACCGTCTGCATGTGGCTTAAGTCCAGCGCCAGTCCAGGAATAGGAACCCCGTTCTCTTATGGCGTACCGGGCCAGGCCAATGAGATTGTACTCATTGAATGGGGAAACAACCCAATTGAGCTCCTAGTCAATGACAAGGTGGGTGTGTGTGTGTGTGTGTGTGTGTGTGTGTGTGTGTGTGTGTGTGTGTGTGTGTGTGTGTGTGTGTGTGTGTGCGTGCGTGCGTGCGTGAATGCGCGCGCGTGCGTGCGTGCGTGCGTGCGTGCGTGTGTGTGTGTGTGCGTGCGTGCGTGCGTGCATGCATGTGTGTGTGTGTGTTATGTTCATTCGTCTGCAGCAGAATATCACATGAACAAATGCAGGGATTTGAAAGGCATTTGTAGAAAGTAATAATTAGATGTTCCTCTGCAGCTGATTAATGTTTGGAGTCAGTCTGATTCAACATGGCTGTGGCAACTAACAGACATTAGCAAGCACAACAACTTTAGCTCAAGTTAAAAATCTGTCACAGGGCGATGACAAATGATGCAGATGATGATTATGCAACTAATCTGATGATTGTGCATAAACTTCTTTTCTTATCGACTAAAAAGTCTCAAACTTCATATTGAAACACGAAATAATCTTAAAACACAGAATCTGGACGCTTGGCTGGTTAATACTCCAGGTGCTCAAGCTTTTTCAGTTCTTTATGAAGCTTCCTGCTTTAAGCAAAAAAGGTGTACATTTATGAAAAAAGAGGTGACCAAACAGAATAATTAGAGTTTATTAAAGATACATTGTAAAAAAACACACACACACACACACACACACACACACACATACATTTTACGGTAGAATGCCGGCAGCTGGAGTTGCCGGAATGGTACCGTAAAATTACAGGCAAATATTTTTTTCTTTTATGGTAAGAAGGTATTTTAATTTTTGTTTTACCGTTAAAAACTGCACTGAAGTCTGCAATTTACTGTAAAAGAGAATGCTTTTACCGTATTTTCCGGACTATAAGCTGCTACTTTTTCCCCACGCTTTGAACCATGCGGCTTATAATGAGGTGCGGCTTTACTGAAGATTTTCTTTCACCTGCCAGGGGGCGCTTTAGCAGAAAGTGAAACAGGTGGAAGTCAAAAGTGGAAATCAAAGAAAGTGCTCATTTTAATTTAGCACATGCAAGCAGCCGGCACGATGAAGAATTTATTTCAAATCCATACCCCCTCATCATGGAAACTACACGTATGAGTTCATATGATGCCGTATTTAAGTTGAAGGCCATCGATCTGGCAGTAAAGGAGGGAAACAGTACTGCCGCACGTAAGCTTGGCATGAATGAATCCATGGTTCGGTGCTGGAGACGGCAGCGGGAAGAACTCATTCAAGCCAGCTTCACCCGGGGATGATGACAGCAACACGGACAGCGACACTGACATCGCCACAGAAAAGGTATGTGACGAAGCTCTTCTGAGGCTGTTCAACTCCGACACTGAAGAAGAGGACTTTAATGGCTTTAGTGCGCAAGAGGAAGATGAGAGCGAATGACTTTTTCTGGTGGGCCAGTGTGTTTTTTTACCAACCAGGCATGTTTTGTGTGCAGTTTTTATTTTCTAATCATCCAGGGCTTATTAATGCTGTTTCAGCACTGCTCTTTTCTTCTAAACATGCAAATTACCGGTAATAACATGACAGTTCTGTTTTTATTTTATAACCATCCAGAAATATGAATGCTATCAGTGCTGTTTTCTTTTCTTAACTTGCAGGCATGCTCACTCGTGTTTAAAATTCGTTTTGCTGAATTAAAACAAAAACAAAAAACCTTTATGTATCGTCTTTCTGTCTAATTATCTTATATTATGGCCATACATGTGCCGTGCGCCGGAGACCTGCATGTGGCTGCTGCGCCGTGGCTTGTATTTGAGTGTGGCATGTGTGTGTAGAAAACCTTTTTTTTTTTGTTGGTGCGGCTTATATTGAGGTGCGCTCTGTAGTCCGGAAATTATGGTACTTGAAAAAAGTGCATTGCTTTACCGTAGAATGAACAGAAAAATAATCTACAAAATTAAATTTGTGCTACTAAAAACATTTTTCCCACTAAAAACAAAATTCAAAGGGTTTTTCTCATTACATACAATCTGCTTTCACTGGTCAATTCATGGATTCAAATGCCCACTTAACTGCAATTAAGGTCATAACCAGTTAAAATAGCTTTTCCTGCTCAATTGCTGTTCATGTCCTTCATCTGCACTTGTGTGTAAAACTGTAGCGGTCAAATGCATTGAGTCAGTAATAACATCAGAAATGAATAACAGCACAGCCTTTGCATGAATTTCCAAGTCAAGTCAAGAACAGACACTTCCCTCTGACTAACGGCCACACTGGGAAACAGGAAGTGAACTCCTTACACCATAAACGCTGTATTTTTTCACTAAAGAAATGTAAAAATCTAAGTGTTGTACTATTATACGCTTTAAGGTAATTTTCTGTTAAAAAAGCAATGCAAGTTTGCTTTACTGTAGAAGTATGCATTCTTTTACAAAGAAAAGAGGTACAAATTACTGTTTTCACCAATTAATTATTTACGGCATATTCACTTAAAATCAACAGTTTTAAATAGTTTTATAGTTGATGGGTTTTTCCTGTTATGGTTTTACGCTTTATCACTGTTAAATTTATGGCTATTTTTACAGTGTATGTTTCACTGAAAAACAATTTTTAATGATTACTTCTGATTATTATTGGTCACTCTGAGTTTTTCATTCAGGCTGAACATGAAAATAGTCTCCTACACCTATCTCCTGCATTAGCTTCTTATAGAAAATAGATGGTGAAACTCTAAAATTAGAAAAGCATGACAGATTTACGTCTCACTGTCACAAATGATTCATGGACTCGCCCATCTTGAGACTCAACAGGGAAGGCTGGTTTTGGTTTAATGTCCAGTAAACAGCAGAGAACGTCTCGACTAGTAGAAGCTAACATTTAGCATTAGCAACTCCACCACACAGCAGAACTCTTCCAAAGAGAGACAGTGGTAGAGTCAAGTTTCTGTCAGCCAGAGGCAAAATGTTCAAATAGCAGAAAATAAAACTCCAAATCTTGCTGTTAGAAGCTACTTTCTCCTCCAGCTGACTCTTCCGTGCTGACAGAGGCACTTCTGGGCGTTTTTTCCCCAGAGTACGACTTACAAGGCATTCATTCCTACTAGAGACCACTGCAAATGTATTAATAAAATAAGACAACCACGCCTTTAAATATATTTTAAATGCTTTCATTGTACATGCAAAACCATTTTTTGGTATTCAAGAAACCTGTTGGCTCCGAGCTTTATCAGAGCTACTGTCTACTGAACCACACACATGTTCTATTCTAATGTTTTCCTTCATTTGTTCACTCGTCGTCTGAACTTTGTCCTGAGACGGGTTAAGGCTGTTTAATCATTTAATGTGATCATTTTTTTATTTTGTAAAATGAGATTTGGTTTCATTTAAAACTCCAGCTTTCCTTTAATGCTGACCTAATTTTGTGAACATCAGAAATCACTTTTATTTGCTCCTAAATATTTGTCCCATCGTGTTTGTGATGGTTTATGTGAATCTACACTGAGAAGAAAGCCACTGACCATTAGCTGTGAATATGTAATTTTCTTTCTCCATACAAACAGTTAATATGGCTGACCCACATTCCACGGAATATTCATCAGAGAGTTTAGGCTGCCATGTGTGCTCATTTGATGGCCTCATCTCCCTGCTTCCCGCATACTTCCCCTACAGCAAGCTTTGATTTCAGTTAGCACAACTTGCAACGAAACTGCTAAAAAAGGTATAAATAACTTATGGCATTTAAAGGAAAGAGTGTGAGTTGTTGCGTTAATGAGTCGTAATAAAATGCTATTTTTTATTCATGATGGCGGGGCTGAAAATGTCTGGCACAGTTCCACAGATTTGTGGCTAATGTTCCCATACTGCAAATATTTTTTACCCCACGTCTTGTTTACGTAGGGTGTTATTGGCCAAGGCAGGTCTCCCCACAGTCTCCCCCCCCCCCCCCCCCCCCCCCCCCTCCCACCATGCATTATACATGGAATCACGTCAGATGGATCAGAGAGTGCTGGTAGAAGGGGATGAGAGTCTGATTGGGAGAAGGTAAAAGGGAGTAGAAAATTGTTACGCTGCAGAGCTTTGGAGGTGATGGAGACAAAAAGAAAAAAATCCTGATGAAGATTGCTGCTGTGTAACAAGAAAGATCAAAAGACAAAGGGTGAGAAACGGAGAGCAGGAGCTACACGGTGTGATGACCGTATGTGCAGCAGCACATCCATGTGTTGAACCTGCTTATGGTGATAATAAGGTCCATCGGGGCGAATTGTTTATGCTCTTCATTTGGCTGCATAATAAAAAAGAAGCAAGGCTGGCTCGACAGTATTAAAAGTGCAGCGCTGTCTTATTTTTGTTTCTGCGTTGCTAAGCGGGAAGGAAATCTTTCTTTTAACACAGCAGCGACTTCATCTGAATTTCATTTTCCTCATTTTTTTTGCACAATGAGGGTGTTGATGTCTTCTAATTTTCTTTCCATTGCTCCAAACCTGCTCATGGCATCTGAGGTTCTTCATTCAAACGTAACTACAGGAGTGTAATCAGCAATGGATTCCACCAGCCTCGCACGGCTGTGGGCCCAACTTCATTTTGCACTTTTGCATCTGCAATGTGAAGCAACAAACTTCAAAGGATCAGGAATTATTTTGTGAAATTTTAGAGACTTTTGCTGGCTTTCAAAATACATGAAGCTGATGCAATTTTGTTGATTTGGTGACCAGATTTTGGCAGGCTCCTCTCATTTTATTGCCTTCCAAAATGTATGTGAAACACATCTTGATGAAAAGGGAAAAGCAGACGTGCTTTTAAACGAGGCTATCACTTATGGTTGCAAAACAGGTATGTATCAAAAATATAATTTTGCAAAAGACTTCAACTGCAACCAAGCTACATGAGAAAGCATTCCATCCATCATCAACTCATCTGAGGTTGTGTTGTGAAGTCCAAGAGAGAAACTCCTTTGTGGTGCCCAACAGAAGGGAATATACAGTTAGGGTTCGGGTTAGCTCTGGGTTTGCCTTGGAGTCTCCTCCAGTTGGAATTGCTTGGAAAACC